TTAACCTTAAACGTCTGTTTAGTCTGATATTTTTATTATTATTTTATTTTTGATTTTTTTGACTTCTTGAATATTTTTTCTTTAATCTTTGTGACGTGTAGATTATTTTAATGTGTTCATTTTATTTTTTCGGATAAATTTTCGTTCGTTTTTTTTTTAATCATTTTTGGTCATTTTGGGTCTTTATATTTTATTCATAAAATATTCAAAAAAATCATTTTAAATTGAGTTAATTTTAATACATTTAGTTTTTTGGTTATTTTTATCATTTAAGGGCTATTTGGTCACAAAAAAATATTATTTACACTGTGCGTGATTCCTATTGGTTACTAACAAAAGTTACGGATCAATAAATTGAATTTATTTTGGACGGATCAGATTAAATCTGAAAACAATATTCCTTTTCATTTTCTCTATTTAAGAATCTTCATCTCTTTGTCTACAAGGAAAGAAAACAAGAACAAAAAGCAAACAGTGACCCATTTCTCATCTTCAATTTCTTCATCCATCTCTCTCACGCGAAACCCACGCCTCGCTTATAATCACCAAACTTTACTTTCTCACGCGATACCCACCGTCTTCCACCTGCTAACACAAAAACGAGACCCATACACCCAAACTTCCGAACAGCTTCCACCACAGTCCGTGAACCCACTGTCTTCAGTCTTCACCATCTCGTTCCACCCTTCAATCCGCTTCAAATACTCCCTCAATCATCACCGTCAACCACTCACCTTCATCGACTCATCCCTTCATCTCTTATGTGACCATTCTTCTCATCCTCAATCATCATCGTAAAACATACTTCCCCGATATCTTCCCTCCATCACTAACCCACACCAAGACTGCTTCTTCCATTAACACCAACCTCTGTTGAACCTCACACAAATCCAATCCGCGATTCCTCAAGTCAACCGTTCTCACTATCATCACCACCGCTGCCAAACATCATATCAACACCATCATCCTTCAATCGTCCAGTTCCCCTGTTCCCTCTTCACACGAATTCACTCACTCACTCTCTCAACATCATGGTCACCACAACCTGTAAATTAGAATGCAAAAAATAGAAGAAATTGGTTCAAGCTTTTTGTCAAACAGGTGGTGGACAGGATGCAATACCGACAAACGCCGACAACAGAACCGATAAGTTGAAAACAAAGTGACAACAATCAAAAAGCATAATTTGAAAAGAGACTCAGAAGCTTCAAAACAGAGATCACCATCGTAGAACTCCGTTGCAAGCCCCCTCCGTCCGTCTCCTCATCTTTGTCAGCTCCCTCACAACCGCTTCTTTATCACCGTAACCACCATTTCTTCATTTGCTCCTCTTTTATTTTCCATATATGTTTGTGTTTGTTTTAATGATTGGATCTAAAGGGGTGTGTAGCTTGTTGTTTGATTTTGTTTACGAGGAAACTCTTGAGAGAATTGAGATGAGAGAGGAGAAAGAAGAACATATGATGTTGTTTTGTTTCTCTTTTTAGCTCTTCTTGAAATTATGTTAGAAAATGGAAGTCAACTTCTATTCCTTTTCTGTAGTTTAAATGGATGAAGGGGTTTCTTGTTTAGAACTAGGATCATTAAAGCGGGGTTATAATGTTTCTATGTTATTTTGTTTTCGTAGAAAGTTAGTTTCTTATATGTATAAAAATTCTCACAAAATATGATGTTCATTCTTTTTCTAAATATTCTTGAGAAAAATATAAAAATTGTTTAAGTAAAAAAAATATATAAAAAGATATTAGTAAATCTTATATTTAGATTTAGTTTAGTATTAATTTAGAATTTTTTTTAATTAGTTTAGATGTATTTTATAACTTTAAAATATTTAGAATCATAATTAATAACTTTAGAATTTTAATTTAATTAGATATAAATTAGTAATGTTAGAACCTTTAATTAGTTTAGGTATATTTTGATAACTTAAAATTTTTAATTTGTTTAGATCTATTTTATAATTTTTAAACTTCCAATTAGTTTAGATACATTTTGATAACTTTAGAATTTTAATTTAATCTTAGAATTTTAATCTTTAATTTAGAATTAATTTAGTTTTGATTTAAAGTTAGTAATTTTATTATCAATATAGTTTAGATTAAATTAGTAATTTTATAATGAATTTAGTTTATACTTAAACTAGTTTAGATGTAATTTAGCAACTTTAAAATTAATTTAGTTTAGACCTAATTCAGTAATATTAGAGTGTTAATTTATTTTAGATTTTAATTTAATAACTTTCGAATTTTAGTTAGTAACTTTAGAGATTTAATTTAATTTTAGTTAATAACTTCAAAATTTTATTTAGTTAGACACTTTAGAATTTAAGTTTAGTTTACTTAGTAACCTTAGAATTTCAAATTAGTTTAGATAATTTTTTAATTACACTTTTCTTTTATTCATGATTCTTCTTTGTCCATTCATTTAGTTTCTTACAATTTATCTTGATATCTACCTTGTTCGTTTCTCGTGGATTTTAATTATTTATGATTTCTTACTCGAATATTAGATCTACCTGCTTATGATTAATTCCAAGGGAATCTTTCAACTCAGCTGACTTCATGTCATCAAATACATCTCTACAATCGTGCGAATACCCTCATTCAGTTTTTGCTTATTTACTATTTTTTTCCAAACTTAAGATAATTTTCCCAAAAGACTCCATTTTCAAACTCATACCTTTTAAGTCAAAACTTCGACACTAGGTCATCGCATCTTCAAAATCTCGTCCATACCCATTTTTAGCCAAACGAACCATTTTTATCAAACAAACAATTTTAAACCAAAAACGGATATTCAAAAGGTTCCTGCGGAGTACCGCAGATACATTGAGTGCTAATACCTTCCCATTGTATAACCAACCCCCGAACTCTCGATCTCTTTTCAAACGCATTGTATTTTTATTACTTTTAAGTATTATTTTACATTGCATATTTTAGGGTTTTATTTCGCACTTTTCCCTTTTCCCTTGGAAATAATAAAGCGCGGTGGCAACTCTTGTTTTTGTGAGTCAAGTTAATTAATAGCTTGATCTCCGATTTTCACTGCTACAGGTATTTTCCAGCTTCTTGTTTCTTATTTGTAAGCTAGTTTGCTTTGTGATTTTGGTGTTGTTAGCACTGGATTTTGAATCACTTTGAGAATATCTTGTTCCCTTATTTAATTATAGTGAAACTATTTCCATGACCGGGATGACTTGTGGTTTTTTACACTCACATTGAGGGTTTACCATGTTAAAATATTTATGTTCTCTCGTGTCTTTATTTGTTCAATTTATTGCCATATGTTTGTTGTTGATCCTCATAAGTACTTACAAGTCTGTTGATTTTTATATTTAGTATGTATTGGTTTATTATTTTGTGTTAATTTCCCAGCAGAGTGACATCAAAGCTTTTGATTAAAGGATATTTTTACTTGTTTGAATAATGAAGCCAAATACAAATATGAGAATGATATTTTTGAATGATTCTAACTATCATTTTTGAAAGGGCAAGATGAAAGACTTACTATTTATGAAGAAATTATATTTACAAGTGTGATGCGGTGGGAGAACTGACTTGAGGGTTTTGCGTTTGATCACAAATGTTGCGGCTAGCAAGAGTCGCTACCGGCTTTTTCTTTTATCCAAAAAGGAAAGGTGAAAAAGCACAGGAAAGACCTTTGAGATTGTTTCTTGAGTTCGGGGGGTAAATTATGAAAAGGGAAGGTATTAGCACCCTTTTCATCCATGGTTCTCCATGGGCTCTTAGTTACTTGTTAGATCACTTGCTTTTGTTTGAAATTATGCTTTGTGTGGTTTTTGAAAGTATTTTGTAAAGAGGCCATTGTTTAGGAAATCTTTGTAATGATTCTCGTTCGTAAGAATGTATACAAATATGTTGATCTTTTGAAAATGTTTTCAAGTTTTGTAAGATGTTTTGAAAGTGTATGTGATTGTTTTTGAAAATAGAAAGGATGTTTATTTTGGAATGGAGAAAGTACTTAGGAGCAATCTACCTACTCAAATGTCTTTCTTGTTCTTTTTTTTTCCTTTGACATTGTTGTCTTACCATTGATTTGGTAAGCAACCCTATCTTTGGATGTAAATGGGACGAGCGTGGGTCATTGTATATCCATGATTAGCAATGTTGCAAGGTATCTTAGCATTCTTTTTGAGGGACTAAGAGCATTTGTAAGATCATTTGTCGCTAAGATACTTCACATGCGTAATATGGCCATTTTATAAGGCAACCAAGTGGATTTTACCCTAGGGGTGCTTGTGTGCAAGTGTATTGTTTTCATGCTTAATTTTGTCTTGAATTAGGGTTTTCTACTTGATTAATTTTATTCTTTCCATACAAACCCTAATTACTAGCATGTTATAGAAGGTATAGAATGGTGGATAGTGATAGAGGAGTTACAATTTTTAAAAAGGTCCTGGATTGCTTTGGTATGATGTATAGAAGGTGTTTGAATGATTAGTTTTCAAAATGCATGAGTGGAAATGAATATGATGAGTTTTGGTTCAAAACTGTGTATCAATGGTGTTCTTGAGAAGATTTATGGTTCTTGAGTGTTTTAGATAGTTTTAGGGCACTAGAATTCATATGTCATCTTGCAAATAGTGTTTGTACTTATAGGCAAGAGGTTTTGAGGCTTGAAACAACTCATAAATTCAAATCGCATGTTATGGCTTGGTTACTTGTTTTTGAAGAAAAGTTGACAAACATGGTTTCAATGTGAAGTACAAGGATTTGCAGGGTGGTTAGCAGGCTGTAGATATGTTTCTTCTTGCTTTTAAATGCTTTTAAGTCAGAAGCAATAATGTATGGGCTCAAGGAGAGTTGACATTGTGATAAAAGTCACTTTTCCAAAATGGAAGTGGTGACTTTCTTCCAAAAATAGAAATGCAACTTGGATAATGGCTCAAATGCTTGGACAATGGCTCTATCAGTTGTGTAAGCATTAAATTATGGAGTGATTAGCAAGTTTGAAGCCTTCAAAGCAATATTTGTACAACATTCTTGAAGATTGGATCAAGTGTTCTTCACAAAATGGCTTGTAATCCAAGTGACAAAACACCAACTTCATCTCTTCAATTCTCCCTACTCAAGAATGATCTCAAGGAGTTATTGGATATTTTGGAAAGCTTGTAATGTGCTCTACAACCCATATTTTAATTTCTTTTGAATATTCCACTTGGAACTATGTGAAAAATTTCCATGAAGTTAGGTCAAAAATCTGTCTAACTAGGGCAAAATTTCACTGAGTCTTTTTTAGTTCATGAGCATGTATTCACAAAATTATAACTTGAGATCCAGGAAATTTTGGGAGAAGTTGTATGAATAAAAGTTGTAGATTTAATAGATATCTACAACTTTCATGTTGGAAGTTTCCTTTGAACCATCTTGTATCATGGTGAAAATTTGGCTTAAAGTTATGAAAAAATAAGAAAATTTTGACACAAAAATTTCTAAGTTTTGAAATTTTGACTTTTCAAATTGAAATCTTGATTTCTTGATTTCTTGATGAATAAGTTTCTTATTTTGACATGTTTTGATGAATTATGACCTTTGGCACTTGAATTTGACCAAAAAGTCAAAGTTTGACTTTTCAGTATACAATTGACTTTTGATTAGTTGACTGCAAAATTCATCTATCAATCCAATGGACTTGCAATGTTTTGAATCATGTCATTAGGTAAAAATGATGTAATTGGACTCTTAAGATCATGCCTCAAATCAATTGATCATTTTCTAGGTCAAAAATCAGAAATTGCCCTTTCTCAGTCAAAACCCTAATTTTGACCATTTTGCCCT